GCCTAGCCTGGCTGCTCACCCTGGGGACAGCAGAGAGCACTGGTTTCTCCAACAAGTCGCTTCCAACCATCTCACTGTACAAGTGAGTAAACTGAGGCCCAGAGAGAGGCCCGCGAGCGTCTTAAGGTCACGGTGGGGGGCGCCAGAAGCCCGGGCAGGGCTCCCACGTTCCCAGGTGGAGGGCGACGTGTGAGTGACTCTTCTGGGGGGGCTCAGCGCCAACCTTGGCAGGAACAGAGGCTCAGAGGTCACCTGAGAGCCCTGGCCGGCAGGAGGGGACAGGCTTGGCTGGTGGCCCAGCAGCTCGGCTGCGGGCGGGGGGCGGGGGGGCGGGAGGCAGAGGTTGGCGAAGTCGGAAGCCAAAGGCTTGGCCTCCCCGAGGGAGCCGCTTTCCCGGCCCGGGTCGGATCAATGGGCTGTAATTATACCGCGCCGGGCCCGGAGCCGGCGGGGAGGGAGCGGGAGCTGGCAGGAGCGAGGCGGCGGGCGGGGGAGCGCGGCCCGAGAGGGACCCACGTTACTTTGATTGACAGCCCAGGCGGGCGCCGCGCAACGCCTTCTGGGGATCGTAGTCTTTCCGAGAGGCCCGCTCCCGCCTCCTCTCGCGTTTGCACTCGGGGAAACCGAGGCACGGGACTCCCGCACCTCCCTCCCCTCCGCCTCCACGTCGGCTTATCCCAACCCCCATCTGGCCTGGGAACAAAAACGGACGCGGGCTAGCGAGCTTCCAGCCCAGGGCGAGATCTCGGCTCTTCCCGGGGTGGGGGGGCGGGAAGGGACCTTCGACCTCAGTTTACCCATCTGTGAAATAGGGCGAGAGGCGCCCCGTGGGGCGCCAGCTGGCCGGGCTTGTGCAGGGCAGGGTGTTGGGCGAGGGGCTCTGGCATTTGAGGAGGGGCCCGCCGGGCTGGGGGTGGCTCGCTACCCCGGGTTTCGGAGCCTGACGGCACCGGATCGCCCATCCCCAGCCCCGGCACCACCGAGGCCGGGCGTCCACGAGGCTCTCCGCGTCTGGGCGGGGGGGGGGGGGGAGCCACACGCTCCTACCCCGCTGGCAGCCCTCTGATTGGCCAAGCGCGTCCCAGTGCCTCCTGCCATTGGCTGCGGGCTCCTCGATCGCCATTGGCCGGCGCCCATTGTGACGTCACGGACCCATGTGGGAGCGCCGCGAGGCGATTGGCTGGCGCGCGCAGCCAACCACCGCGGAGAGAGGAATTTCCACAGTAGCCGAGGCGGAGAGGCTGATTTAAGGTGGTCCGAGCAATCCGGGGTCCCAGCGCTGCTTCTCGGCTTTTTCCTTTAAAAAAAATAAAAAATAAAAAACCCACCTCATAAAAACCAGGCAGGGACTGGGGCTGAGCGGTTCCGTACGGCGGGAGGAGGGGGATCAGAAGCGAAGTCCCTTCCCCCATTTTGCAGCTTCTTGCCCGGTTCTGCAGGTGGGGCGTGCAGCCCCGGCGGGGGAGGGGGCGGGCGAGTTCGCGGGGCGCAGGCTTCTGGGGTAACGAGAGGGTCGTGCTAGACTGTCCAGCCCGGAACCCACCGCGGCGGTCCTCGCCCGGCCCGGCCTGCTGCCCCGGCCGCGTGTGCATTTCAGCGAGGTGCGGTGGGGTCCCCCATCTCAGCGCTCCCAGCTGAGCCCCCCCAAATTCTCAAAGCTGCCCCCAAAGCAGAGCTCACAGCAAACGGTCTCTTCCCTCCTGGCGGATCCCGTACACCATCCTGTGTGTGTGTGTGTGTGTGTGTGTGTGGTCTTGTGGCTTCTGGGCAATCCACAAATCTGTATTTACCCTCCCCTGCGGGGTGTGCCTGGTAGAAACGTCTAAAGCCTGTTGCCTCAAGGTCCCCTCCTCCAGGAAGCCTCTCTGGCTTCACCAGGCAGAGGCCCTGTCCATCTGGTCTGCAGGCGCTCACTGCATCAGTGACCCAGGAGTCAGTGCCTAACTCTGTCCACCCCCCACTTCCCTATCCTGGGCCAGGCGTCTCTAGGAGCCCCAGGGCCTTCCAGCATGAGGGTGGGTTGTAGAATAAATACCCACCTGAACAGCCTGTGCTCACTGTGTGGAGGGGGAAGGTACCTTCCGGAGGAGAGGATGCCTGCAGGAGATGCTTTGGGGCTGGGCCTTGAAAAAAAATGGATTTTCTCCAGGCAGAGAAGGAGCAGTAGGGAATCCCAGGAAGAGGTAACCACGCAAGCCAAAGCCAGGAGGTGGGAGAGAACACAGAGTAGGTAATGTGACTGGCGTGGGCTGGAGCAGAGAGAGTAGGTGAAGGGGTGGAGGGAGGTGAAGCCAGGCCGGGCCAGGTGCTGCAGGACATCTGAGGCTAGCCTGAGGATCTGGGGTTTGTCCTGAGGAAGTTTGCCATAGGAAGCCATGGGAAGGGTTTTGTTTGTTTGTTTTTTAAACTTTTTATTTATTTATTAATGAGAGACACACAGAGAGGCAGAGACATAGGCAGAGGGAGAAGCAGGCTCCCTGTGAGGAGGCCAATGTGGGACTCGATCCCAGGACCCTGGGGTCACAGCCTGAGCGGAAGGCAGACCCTCAACCGCTGAGCCACCCACGTGTCCCCATGGGAAGCTTTTATGCGGGAGGGCCAGGCCCAAAAATGATGGCAAGAGTTAAAGCCGCTGGGGCTGGAGCTCAGAGGGGGGAGGATGAAGAGCTGGCTCAGGCCCGAGGGGGCGGCTATGTGGATAGGGAGCAAGATTGAGGGGGCAGGTGCAGGGGAGGGAAGGGGCTAGGCCTAGGCCAATGCTCTGTCTTGGGGAGCAGGACCAGGGCCCAGGTCTGGGGGAAGGTGCTACACCTAGTGACCCCGGGGACATCCCAGGGAGGCATGGCGCTTCCTGGAAAGGTTTTGGAATTAGGACTTCACAGACCCCCACCCCAGAACCAGGGATTCCTGGCCTTGTAGAAAGGTGGAACTCCGTTCCTAGCCCTTCCCAGCAGGAGTGCGGCCAGTGACTTCTGGCTTGAGCTGATCAGCTGTTTCTTCTCCCCAGCTCCTCTGCCTATCTGTTTATTGAGCACTTGCTGTGTGCCAGGCTCTGCAAGAAACGGCTCTGTCCCCACACAGCCTAGTGAGGGAGACAAATGCCGAATAGAACAATCCGCAGGGAAATGTGGTGTTGGCGAAACAAAACACACTCTGGCAGGACCTCGAAGGAGGGAGAACGGATACAGGATTTGGGAATAACCAGGTGGGATGAGTAAATGACCGTACAAATGGGTGGCCTGGAGGGGGCTTTCTTAGGAGGTGACCTCTGAGCTGAGACTTGAATGACCCAAAGCAAGGGAACAGCATTTCAGGCAGAGGGAACAGTAAATGCAAAAGCCCTGAGGCAGGCCCCTATCTGGTGGGTTAGGAAAAGAGTGGAGAGGCCAGAGTGTCGGAAGCAGAGGGGATGAGGGTGAAGATGAAGGCAGCTGGGTCCAGGGAGGGAAGGGCAGAGATGGGGTTTGTGCAGGGCCTTGTGGGAAAAGAGAAGAGTTTGGATTTTATTTTGATGACAATAGGGAGCCATTGAACACTCTAGTACACACACACACACACACACACACACACACACACACACATCTTTGTCCTCAGGATCTCTTTCTCCCCTGCGGTCCCACCCTGGGTAGGTCGCACGTCTCTCAGGCACCCCAGATAAGTAGGTTCCCTCTTGTCTCCACCACTGCTCCCCAAAGTCTTTCTCTGTACACACAAATAGTTCCCCAGTCGCCAAACCGTGATCGTGCCTTGTCCGCAGAGCTCGGAGAGGGCCAGAATCGCTTCCCCTTCGGTCACCCTCGTATTCCTGGCACCTGGAAGGATACCTGGCACCTAATAGATGCTCAATAAATTACCTGTTGGCTGGAAGGCGGTGGTGCTCAGCTCAGGAGGGTTTCGTCTACTTTGGCTCCCCCGCCTCCAGCACAGGGGCAGGCATCACGGCGAGGCAGGGGTTTCTCTCTATTTCGTGTCCCCTGCGCCTCGTGCCTAGAGCTGTGCCTGGTCCGCAGGAGGTGCTCCAGGCACGCTTGTTGACCGACTTAACAAACTTTGAGGTTTTTCCTACGCAAGATGGGAGCAAGGAGGTGCGATGTCCCAGGTGAGTGTGGGGGATGCTCCCAGGCTGGCTGCGGTCTGTGCCCCGAGGGGAGCGCCTGCCCCCAGCGACCTCGGTCTGGTGGCAGGGATTCGGCTGCCCTTCTCCGGGCCTGCTCTGCCCTCTAGGAGCTCGCAGTCTGCTGCTGGTGGCAAGGGGAGTCCGAGTCCCACCTGCGGAGAGTTTGCTCGTGCCGGGCCAGGCTGGGGGCTGCTCAGGCCCCATCTCCTTAAAGGACAGCTCCAGGCTCTGCCATTTTACAGATGCGAATACTGAGGCCGGAGGGGGGCGGGCGGGGTCTGCCCTCCACGGTGCAGGTTCCCGGCCTCCTCCAGAACCTGTCTCAGCCCTCTCCTCGGGAGGGCCCCTTCACCGCAACCGCCCCCTCCCCAGCACGCGGCCCGCACAGGCCCCCCCACCCGCCGAGGGGTGTCTGGCTGACCTGCTCGTCTCTCCCCGGGGAGGGAGCGGGCGGCGTCGGCGGGGGACTGGGCGCGGGCCTCAGTTTCCCCACGGGGCCCGGCGGGGGGCGGGGCGGCGGGCGGGGGCGGGGTCCCGGGCGCGGGCCCGAGGCGCGGGGGCGCGGCGGGCGGGCGGGTGGGCGGGCCGGGGGGCGGCGGCGCCACCTTAAGGCGGCTCTGCCCGCGGCTCCCGGCCGAGCCCCGCCGGAGGGAGGCGGCTCCGCGCGGGGCCCGCCGCCCGCGCCTCCGCCGACACCGGCCGCGGCTCGCGCGACCTTCCGCGCCCGCCCCGCGCCCCGCGCCCCGCGCCCCGCGCCCCCGCCCCGCCCCCGCCCCCGCCCCGCGCGCTCGGGGGGGCGCGGGCGCTCCGGGTCCCGGCCCCGCGCCGCCGCGCCCCTCCTGCTGCCTCCGGGCGCCCCCGGCCCCGCCGCCGCCCCCCCCCCCCCCGGGATCGTCGGCTCCGGCGGCGCGGGGCGTCCGCATCGCCAGGATGTACCCCCAGGGGAGGCACCCGGTGAGTGGGGGCCCGGGCCGCGCGGGGGCGGGGGGCGCGGGCGCCCGGAGCTCAGACCCCGCGGCGCGCCCGCCCGCAGACCCCGCTCCAGTCCGGCCAGCCCTTCAAGTTCTCGATCCTGGAGATCTGCGACCGCATCAAAGAGGAATTCCAGTTTCTTCAGGCTCAGTACCACAGGTGAGGGCGGCGGGGCGCCGCGCCCCGGGGGAGCCGGGCGCTCACCTGGGAGCTCACCTGGGAGCTCACCTGGGAGCTCACCTGGGAGCCCCCCGGCGGGAGGGGGCGGGCCCGCTGGGGGCCCCGGGCGCAGCCAGGCGGGGGCGGGGCCTCCAGGGTGCCGGGAGGAGGGAGCCCCCCCTGCAGGGCCGAGGGAGGGCTTCCAGGTGGAAGCGCAGGTGAGGTGGCTGGGGACGCTCAGCCCTGGGGCGCCTGGAGCCTGAGAAGGGGCGGGAAGGGACTGGACGGGAGGTGGGGCGGCGAGCAGGAAGTGGGGACAGGGGACTGAGCCAAAGCCATCACTTTGGAAACTGGCCCAGACCGGGTATCTCTGCGTCCTGTGCCGGGTGGGGCGCGGGGGGAGTAGAGGCAGGGCGCAGAGTGGGATCCCCATGCCCCCCCCTCTCCTTCCCAGCCTCAAGCTGGAATGTGAGAAGCTGGCCAGTGAGAAGACAGAAATGCAACGACATTATGTCATGGTGAGGGGCTTCGGGTGCCAGGAGCTGCGGGCAGTGGGGAGGGGGCTCCGCTGTGACTGAAGGCGCTGGGGGTTTGACTCCCCGCTCACCCTGCCCCTCAGGGCCTCATTTTCCCTGTCTTGTAAACGGGGCTGGTTGGGATTCCTGGCCATCCTACAAACAATGAGGCAAGGATGTCCCCTCTCCTGATGGGCATCTCTGAGGGGCCGGGGTCTCTGGGCACCTCCTCCTGCCGCCCTCCCTGCTTGCTCCTCTGGTCTTCCCCTCTGGGCTTCGGGGGAGGCTCTGTGGCCTGCTGTGATTCCCCCAGCCTGGGGGCTCCCCGGAAGGCCCAGCATCACCCAGCTCAGGGCTGGGCACCAACTGGCACAGTAGACATTCCCAACTGGCTCTTCCTTTGCAGTATTATGAGATGTCCTACGGGCTCAACATCGAAATGCATAAACAGGTAACTGTTGGGGCTCGGGGTGTTCAGGAGGAAGGGTGAGGGTCTGGAAGCTGTGAGAGAGACCCAGCGCTCAGGCAGTCCGGGTCTTATCCTGAAATCTCTGGGACCAGGGGGCCAGATTTCAGCCTCACAGAAGGAAAACAGTTCTGAACTTCTGGAGACAGGGTCCAGCAGAGGTGAGAAGCGGGCAGGAGCCAGGTGTCCCCGTCAAGGAGGGGTCAAGGAGGGCTTGCGGCAGAGGCTGGCAGCCAGGTCGGGCAGGCAGTGGAGGTGACTTCTGGCCCAGGGAGGTCCCTTTCAGCCCAGAGAGTCTCATGTTTGGAGGATGGATCCTGATGATCTGAGCTGGACCCCAAGCTGCTGTTGATGCTTTAAAGGATGTAAGATTGGCCCTAGTGCCCTGAGGGTCCAAGACTCTCATCAGCTTCTGAGTGTGATGCAGGGTTCTCAGTTAGACCAGAAGGGTCTCAAATTGACTCCAGTTGTTCAAGATTAACCCCGAGACGGGGCGCCCAGGTGGCTCAGTCGGTTAAGCATCCGACTCTTGATCTCAGCCCAGGTCTCGATCTCAGAGGCGTGAGTTCAAGCCCCATCTGTGTTGGGTTCCACACTGGGTACCGAGCCTACTTTAAAAAAGAAAAAAAAATTAACCCCAAGAACCTGACACTGATCTCAAGGTTCTCTGATAGATGAGGGACCCCAAAAGATTGTGAGGTTGATGGGGTCTTAGGTTCTGTCCCTGAGACTATCAGAACAGGGTAGGGGTGGGGGGGTGGAGCCTAAAACAACACTCCTTCCGGGTGGGTGGGAAGAGGAGGGGGAGCGGGCTGGGAGTGTGGGCTGCCTCAGGGTGCCCGCCCTGGTGTGCTTTTCTGGGTATGCGTGGGCTCTGCTGGCTCTGGTGTGGGCCGTGGCGGGCGGGGGGGGGGGGGGGGCGCTGACCTGGCTGGAGTAGGGCGTGGTCCTGGGGGTGCATGAAATAGACCATCTTACAGGGTGGGAGGGGGCAGGCAGGTGCTAGGGCCCGGCCCCCACCCTCCCAGTGGGAACTCAAGCCCCGTCTGGATGCACGAGGCACACAGCACCCCTCTAACCCCGGCAGAGGCAAAGCATAGCCTGACCCTGCACACACCTGGATATGCCATACCTGCCCCTCTCCCCCCGCCCCCATGCAGCAGCTTTCCCTCTGTTCAGCCTCTCGGGGCTCCCCTGGCTCAGATCCTGTCCCCGAAGACACCCGCTTGTAAAACCACAGCCTCCCCTCCACTCCCTGTACTGCGCCCAAACGTGTGGGTTTCCCCGCATACCAGCCGATCCTCCTGCTCCGACACCAGCAGATGTCCTGCGATTCAGCTTGATTCTGACACTGCCTGCCTGGAATTAGCTCAGACCTCACAGGTGCGGGGCTCGGCCCCACCGGGCTGCCCCTGTTGCAGATGCCAAGCAAAAGTCTGGGTCTCTGGCCCAAGCGTCTGACCGTTCAGCTATATATAAATTGAGGGTTCCTGTAATCCCCACCTCAGGTTCAATAATTTGCCCAAACAGTCCCCAGAACTCAGGGAAACAGTTGGCTTGTTACATTACCCGCTTATCCTATAGGATCGGATTCAGGAACAGCCAGATGGAAGAGAGGCGCGGGGCGAGGCATGGGGCGGGGGCGCAGAGCTTCCATGCCCTGCCCTGGTGCGCCACCCTCCCAGCACCTCCATACGGTCACCCACCCGGTCACCCACCCGAGGCTCCCCACCAACTCCGTTAGGGATTTTTAGGGAGGTTTCATTGCACAGACCCAATTGGTTACATCATCGCCGTTGCTGATTAACTCGACCTCCATCCCTCTAACATACTCAGGTATTGAGAACAGCAAAAGACGCTCCCTGCCCCCATCACTGGGAAATTCTGAGAGTTTTAGGGGCTCCTCTGTACCAGGATGTGGGACAAAGACAAGATAGGTTTCTTATTATTAGCCCAACACCACAAAGCCCTTCCCCTGAGCCTGGTGCACTGGGATCTCGGCCTGGCAGTGGCCCAGGTCGCAGAGGGAGCCTGTGCCCCCCAGAGACGGCCTGGGAGGGCCACTGCTTTGTTTGCGATGACCCCACAGCCCCTCAGTGCCCATCTGAGTTGGGCGTCTTGGTGGCTGCTTCCTGGGAATCTGTTGATTGTGTCTGTATCTGTCCCGGCCTTCCGGCTCCCGGCTGCCCTGGGCATCAGCTCCGCAGGCCGCCGTCTGCCCCCCGAGCCTTGCCTCTCTGGCTTCAGCATCGCTGGTGACGGCCCCCTACCTCCCGGGCTTTGCCAAGGCTTATTACGTCTGGAGTGAGGGTCCCCCCCCCACAAGCCTCCTCCCTATTGTTTCCTGCCAGGCCGAGATTGTGAAGCGCCTCAGTGGTATCTGTGCTCAGATTATCCCCTTCCTGACCCAGGAGGTGAGTGGGCCTGTGGGGGCAGACGGGGAGCTGGATGACTGGGAGAGCGGGGACTGGTTCCGCCGGGGGGCCGGGAAGGGGGCACCGGGCAGGGGCTACAGGGATGGACAGAGGTGGAGGGTGAGGGCGAGGAGTGGGGGCTCCGGCCCGGCCACCAGGCTGCCTGGGTCCGAGTCCTGGCTCTGTGCCCTTGGCTGCTTGCCTTGTCTGTGCCTTTGTGGTCATGTTTAGACAAGCTGATACACGCCAGGGCGATACTGGGTGCTAAGCAAGCACCCAGGAAGAGTTAGCCCTATGTGTGCTCAGCGCAGCTGGCTAGTCACGAAAGGGCAAATACCGTCCAGCTCCATTCCCGGGAGGTCCCTAGAGGAGTCTCGTCGTGCACAGAGACAGAGACGAGATGGTGGTGGGAGCCAGGGGCTGAGGGAGGAGATGGGGAGTCTCCGTGTGGGGAGATGGAAGGTTCTAGAGATGGAATGTGGGGGTGGGTGCGCGACGATGTGAGTGTGCTTCTTGCCGCTGAGCTGTGCACTTAGAGACTGTTAAGATGGTGACTCGTACGTATCTGTAACCACAATAATAATTTTAAAAAGGTAGAACCGGGGCAGATGACATAATAAGCAGTGTGAGCACCTCACTGAAACTTAAAAAAAAAGCGGGGGTGGGGTGCCTGGGTGGCTCAGGTAGCAGTTAGGCGTCTGCTTTCGGCTTGGGTCATGATGCCAGGGTCCTGCGATCAAGCGCCACATCAGGCTCCCGGCTCAGTGGGTGTCTGCTTCTCCTTCCTCTAAATTTTTTTTAAGATTTTATTTATTTATTCATGAGGGACACACACACACACACACACACACACACACACACACACACACACACACCCGAGAGAGAGAAAGAGGCAGAGGCCCAGGCAGAAGGAGAAGCAGGCTCCATGCAGGGAGCCCGACGTGGGACTCGATCCCAGGACTCCAGGATCACGTCCTGGGCCAAAGGCAGACGCTCCACCGCTGAGCCTCCCAGGGATCCTCCTCCCTCTAAATATTTAAATAAAATCTTTAAAAGGAAAAAAAAGTTAGCCCTTGTAAGAATTCTCCAAGGGCCTGCCAGCCTGAGGACCTTTGCAGCAGCTGTCCCTGCTTCCTGTCTGGAGCATTCCATCCACAAGAGACACCAGGGCAGGTCCCCCTGCAGGGTGGGTAAACGGAGCCCCCCCCCCCCCGCCAGTTGTGACCGTGAACAAAAACAGGGGGAGATGCTCACCTCGGATGGGACCCCGCCAAATCTGAGATTTTCTGGAAGCTCGGGAAGGAGGGATATCCTGGCTGGCGTGAGACTGTAGAGATGGTGTCTGGAGCAGAGGGTGGGGACCGAGTGGCCGCGGTGACAAGAGCAACACGGGAAGAAAGATGGTAAACGGACTAGGAAGTGAACAGCGACACACACAGGTGCCCCAGCGAGTCCATTCTAGCCCAGGGGTCAGGGGATGGTGTGGTCGGGGTCTACACCCCACCCTCTGCCTGCTTTATAAATAAGGTTTTATGGGGACACCGGCAGGCCCGTTCAGGCACATGGTCTGCATGGCAGGATACGGAGAGAGAAGGTGCCACAGAGAACTGAAAATATTTACTCTGTGACCCTTTACAGAAAAAGTGGGCCAACCCTCGGCCTAGACACGCTTACACGCGGGTGTGTGGATCCACAGCCGTGTGCGGTCACTCACACGTACATTCGTCTATGTTTCTATTTGAACGTATTACATTACGTGTCTACTTAAATTTGTATTAAATGAGATTAAGTGAAACGGTTCCTTCGTCACTTGCACGGGGCTGGGCGCATCTCAAGTGCTCAGTAGCACCTGCGGGGCTCCGACAGTGGGGACAGAGCATGTGTTGTCATTGCTTGAGGCAAGGAGAGGCAGGAAGAAGGGCGGCAGGGCAGAGGCCCCCGGGCTACTAGGGACGCCAATTTCTACTTTGTGACCTGTTGCTGTTTTCCCCAGGTGCTGATTTAGACGGGACATTTGCGTTGTCACACTGGGGGTGCTCCTGGCACCGAGGGGGTGGGGGCCAGGGATGCTGGAAATAGCGAGCGCTGGGGACAAGGATGGGGGGGAGCTGGGGCCTTGGAGGGCACTGCGGGGGTGGATGGGGGCTGCCAGCAGACAGGGAGCCTGAGCACCCCCTCCCAGTACCCCCGCCTCTCAGCATCAACAACAGGTGCTACAGGCCGTGGAACGGGCCAAGCAGGTGACCGTGGGGGAGCTGAACAGCCTCATCGGGGTGAGTCCTCCCAGCCCCTACCCTGTCCCGGGGAGACCCCACCCCCGGTCCTGGGCACCCTGGAGGTGCTAAGGCTGGGGGTTCCAGGTGGGCTGCTGGAGGGGGCTCTGGCCTCCCCGGAGCCTCGGGGCGCCCCCCTCTGCCCACACCCGGTGCAGGTCTCTGCTGCCTCTCGGGCCAGGGGCACTGCTGGGCTGCGGCCCGGCCCTGGCCCACCCGTCCTCTCTCCAGCAGCAGCAGCTCCAGCCGCTGTCCCACCATGCCCCCCCTGTACCCCTCACCCCTCGCCCTGCTGGCCTGGTGGGCAGCAGTGCCACGGGGCTGCTGGCCCTGTCCGGAGCTCTGGCCGCGCAGGCTCAGCTGGCTGCGGCCGCCAAGGAAGACCGGGCAGGTGGGGAGGCCGAGGGACCCAGAGGTGAGTGGGCCCCACAGGGTGGCGTTGGCCAGGGGAGCCCGGGTGCGGAGGGGGACTGGCAGGCCAGGCTGTCCAGAGCACCAGACTCCCCGAAGCGCCAGGGAGCGAGTGACCGGGCCCGCCGGGCCTGGGGTCAGCTTTCCTCCCAGCCGCTGTGTGTTCTTGGGCGAGCTACTGCCTGTCTCTGGACACCTGTCTGAATGTTCAGGGGAGGACGCGGGTGTAGGAAGGAGGAGGGGGGTTCTGAGCTGGGAAGGGGGCCCTATAAACTCCAGAGGGGCGCGCCCCTGGCACCACGAGCTACGAAACCCTCACCTTGTCTCCCCTCTCTCTTCGCCTCCCCTGCGTCCTGCCAGTGGACAGAGCCCCGAGCAGGGTAAGTTGCAGGGCGCCCAGGAACTCGTGTGACATTCGCTTTGTACTCGCGGGTGGCTGGAGCCGGGGGTTCTGAGCTGATGGGGTCCTCAGAGCAAGACCCCGGGCAGCTCCTGGAACCTTTTGCTGTGGGAGGTGCCCCTAGACTTCTTCTTATCAAAAGTTTGCCTCCTTGAGCTTCTTTCTGCAATTGGATAAGTGAACGTGCGGGGAGTAGCCTCCACCCCCGCTTCCGTTCATCAACGCGCCCGTCATCCAGCTGATGTTGTTATCTATCAGAGCTGCCCCGTAGCCCTGTGTGTAGTTTTTATTATTTCTAAATTGTTTTTCTTTTTTAAAAGATTTTATCTATGTATTCACGAGAGACACAGAGAGAGGCAGAGACACAGGTAGCGGGAGGAGCAGGCTCCCTGCGGGGAGCCCGATGTGGGACTCGATCCTAGGACCCCAGGGTCATACAGATGGGGAGACTGAGTCCCAGGGAAGGAGCCGACTGCCTGAGGCCCACAGGCAGGTTGATGCTGGGGGAGGGGGATGCAGCTGACCCAGGCTTTGACCTTCGAAGGCCGGACTGTTGGCACCTATGGGCTGGCTTTGAGTCCTGTTTCAGCCCCTCCTTCACGGCACAGCCCTGCCTTCCCTTGGGCTCAGTTTCCCTGTCTGTATAATGGGATTAACCATCACCTCCCCCCACAAGCTTGCTGTGGGGGTTCAAGAACTGAGCATTGGGGCAGCCCCGGTGGCTCAGCGGTTTGGCGCCTCCTTCACCCTGGGGTGGGATCCTGGAGACCCGGGATCGAGTCCCACATCCGGCTCCCTGCGTGGAGCCTGCTTCTCCCCCTGCCTATGTCTCTGCTTCTTTGTATGTGTGTGTGTGTGTGTGTCTCATGAATAAATAAATAAAATCTTAAAAAAAAAAAAAAAGAACTGAGCATTGACTCTGCCCTCAGAAGGTCCCATTTCCCAGACGGGAAACTTGAGGCCCAGATCCCAATAACAGTGTTGGGGACCCTCGGGCTTGGCTGTGCCAGGATGGGGTCTGGGGCCTCGGGGCTCTGACCCTCTGTCCCACCTGGCCTTGTCTCTCTGCAGAGCGCATCCCCCTCACCCCCTGAGAGTGTGGTGGAGGAGGAGCGGCCCGGTGGCCCGGCCGGCAGCGGGAAGCAGCGCGCTGAGGACAAAGATCTGTCGGGACCTTATGTAAGTGGGGGGCAAGCAGAAGACCGGGGCGGGCCCCCAGCCCTGCTGCTCAGAGCCGACCAGAGCCGAGCTCTGGCCGTGACTCTCTCACTCCAGGGCCTTCCATAGCTCCCCTTTGCTCACGGAGCGCGGGGCAATCAGAAGACCCCTGCGGGCCAGGCCCAGCTCTAGTTGCTCTTGTGTCTGAAGCCCCTGGACCAGGCAGCCGATGCCCCCCTCCTGGATTTTGTTCCGGCCCGTGCAGCCCTCTGTGACTCCCCTTCCCCTGCCCTTCTAGGAGGCCCAGAATGCTCTGTCCTGCAGGAGGCTGGCCCTGGCCCCCCGCCCCCTCCAGGGCCGGGACCCCTCCCTCACTGTACAAGCCCCGCACCTGTAGTCTCTACCTCTGGCCCCCCCAGGGCAGGGCCGCAGTGGAGGCTGGGGTTGTGGCTGCGGGGGGGGGCACTTGTCGCATCCGCGGGGCCAGCCTCACCCTGGTGCCACCTTCCTGGCAGCCCCAGAGCCCGCAGGTCCTCCTCTGTTTCTCACAGATGCCTTTGCTCTTTAAGAATCCGAACAGCTTGTTCTATACACGTCAGCAACTCTTTTGGTTTTTAAAGAAGATAATTGGGGGTCGGGGGGGGGGTCAGAGAAGCCCCTCCTGCTGGGAAGACGTGGGCTTCAGGCTGTACCTTCGGTCTTCCTGGCCTTTCTGCTTGACACGGGGCAGCCCTGGACAACGCTGTTTCCCCCAAGGGCCGTGGGGAGCCGCACAAGGAGTGAGAACTGATGTAGGGGCAGGCGTCAGGAGAAAATCCCTCTCGGGCAAGCTTGGAGGGCTGCCTGGAGGGGGCAAGCTGAAGGCCAGGAGCCTGAGGAAGGGCCAAGGCCATGGCTCTCCCCACACTGCACACAGCAGGGAAACTGAGACCCGGGGAGGGCCCCACAGCACGTCGTGGGCATGCAGCTCCACCCCCCTCACTTTTCTCCACGAGGGACTCACGCCCCCTCCCCAACGGCCCCTGGACCCGAGCAAATGGCAGCCTTCTTTCCGAACCAGGTACAGGGGCCTCTGGAGCCCCCAGAGCCCTGATCAGACTGGGGCTGGCCCTGTGTCCGCCCCCACTCCTGGGGACGAATAAGGGGACGTGGAGGCAGGGGCACGGCCACAGTAAGCTCTCTCCCTCTCCTCTGTGTCCCCCCCCCCCAGGAGAGTGACGAAGACAAGAGTGACTACAACCTAGTGGTGGACGAGGTGAGTCGGGGTCCAGCCTCTGACAGCAGGGCCCAGAGGTCTGGGCACAGCGAGTGGCAGGTTTGGCAGAGTGTTGGGCTTGGAGGGAAGGGGGCGTCCTGGCCCCCTCTCGGTTCAAGGTGGATGGGATGAGGGGACAGCTCGGGACAACCTCCCCTCCATAGCACAGGCCCCGAGAACCCTGGGGGGCGGGCAGTGGCTTCAAGCGCCCTCGCTGAGTGACGGGGCGCTGTGCCCCTTCCCCGGCCTCACTGGCCCCCCAGTCAGGGGGGGGACACCAAAAGCAAGCCCTGACGTAGTCGTTGCCATGTGTGCTTATGGTGCAGGTACCTTCAATCCCATCGGACGGGGTGGATCGCAGGGGCCCAGCCTGGAGGGTGGGACGGGGTCTGGGAGGTACAGGGATGGGCTCGCCCTCTTTACCCGCTTCCTCTCCACTTAACCTCACCTCCTCAAACCCAGGACCAGCCGTCGGAGCCCCCCAGCCCTGCCAGCACCCCGTGTGGAAAGGCCCCCATCTGTGTCCCTGCCCGTCGGGACCTCGTGGACAGTCCAGCCTCCTTGGCCTCGAGCCTCGGCTCGCCACTCCCCCGAGCCAAGGAGCTTGTCCTGGTAAGGAGTGGGGGAGGCCTGGAAACTCACTTCGTGCATCCTGGGGACCTGGAAACAGATGCCGACACCTGAGATGTGGAGGGGGGCGGGAACCCACCGGCCGGGGGGGGGGGGGTGTCCAGAGGCTTGTCCTTCGTGGTTATTTGTCACCCTCCTAAAATCCGCCTTGACTTTGCCCAAGTACTTCTCCCGAGCGGACTGGCTCCGTCGGGCCTAAACACACACCAAATACATACACGTTCTCCATCTTCTGGGGAGACGGTTGCTTGCTTAAGTAGGGAGCCCCAGAAATAAGCCCAGTGACCATAGAATCGGGGCCCAGGGCTGACTCCCGCCCTGCAAGTGTTCCGGCCCCTGAGAGGCGCTGGAGGCGCAGCAGCCCCACCTGAGGTCCGGGCAGGAGGATACTATGGGAACAACTTTCTCCGCGTAGGAAGCGCCCTGGCACCCACGCGGGGCTCCATCTATCCCGCCCCCTCCCCCAAATCTTCCCCAGCCCCCGCGGGCACTTACCCACTTACCGGGAGAGGGAGAGGGAGAGGCGGAGAGGGAGAGGCGCCGGTTTCTAGGCCTCCCCTCCCAGCAGGTTGCTATGGCGACGCAGAGGCTGGGGCTCACGTGGCATCTTCTGTGACCTCCTCCACTCCAGGAGGCCGAGGGGGAGGGGCGCCGCGGCCTCCCTGTCCACGTGGTCCCCACCCACGGCCCTCGTGGGTGCCCGGGCGGCTGGCACGGAAGGCGGGCTTGGGGAGGCGAGGACGGGTGCGAGGTCGGCCAGGTTCCTGGCAGGTCGGGGAGGCTCAGCAGGAGGAGGACAGGCCAGGAGCTCCTCCCCAGGTCCGCTTCCCCCCTGCTCAGGTGTCTCCCCCTCCCCGAGAGGCACCGCTCCCCAGAAGCAGGGCGAGCGGGCCCCTACTGGGTGCCAGTCCCTCGTCCTGGGTCCCTGTCCTCCTCCCCGGGTGCCTGTCCTCCTCCCCCGGTGCCGGTCCTCTGTCCTGGGTCCCCATCCTCCATCCAGGAGCACACCCTGTGCTCTCCCGCCCCACACCCTGCCCCCTTCTCTCGCAGCGCGCCCTCTCCCTGCAGGTGTGGCCCTTGCTCAAGGCCAGTCTACACCCGCACTTGCACTCGTGACCCTGTAACCCCTAGCCGTGTAACGCACTGCATGCCTTATCATACGCGTGCACGGTTCTGGCAGCAGGTGTGAGTGCCCCTCCCTGCGCCCGCTGTACCCCTGTGGGCAGGTGCTGTGCCCCTTCCTGCCCAGGCGCCCGCCTGCCGCTCCCAGTGTGCGGACCCTCGCGTGTCCCTGAAATAGCAGAGGGGCACTAGCGGGGCCCATGAGCCCCGGCCTAGCTCGCATACACCTGCTCCTTCCTCCCACCTGGTTTCTCACCAGAGCGTGGGCAGCAAGGTGCGGGGCACAGGGGTGTTCAGTCCTGACCTTTCTCCCCAGAACGACCTTCCTGCCAGCACTCCCGCCCCTAAGTCCTGCGACTCCTCCCCGCCCCAGGATGCGTCCACCCCCGGGCCCAGCTCAGCCAGTCACCTCCGCCAGCTTGCTGCCAAGCCAGCGCCTTGCACCGACAGTGTTGGTGAGCGTGGGCTGGGGCCCGCCAGACCAGGTCTCTTCTCTGGGGGGTTCTAGAAGATGCCAGGGGTGGGGGAGGCGGGAGGCCAGAATCCGGCCCTGGCCTGGCCTTGGCCCTTTCCGGGACTTGGAGCCCAGTGCTGCCTCACTCTGGGCCTCCGTCTCCTCAGGGTCTTGGCTTCACAGGTCCGGAGGCCGAGGCCCAGAGAGGCACTGGTTTACTCACGAGCTTTAGCCCTAGTGCACGGGCCGAGAGGCCTTGGGGTCAGACGGCCTGGGGTTTGAGGCCAGCCTCGGGTACTCATCAGCCTGACTTTGGGCGAGCGACTCAAACTTTCTGAGCCTCAGATTCCCCATTGTTGACGTGGGGGTGACGGTGTTTTCCATTTCTGTCCTGTGGCCTGGCCCTGGCTGGTTCTGGGGCCCCAGAAAGAATCAGCCCTGGGACTTGCCTTCGAGGAGCTCCCAGGCATGTGTGACCCGGGCTAGCATAGACAGAGGGAAGCAAAATGGGCCGGGGGTGGGGGTGGGGAGGCTTGATGATGTTGCTGGACATCGGCCCGGGGTTTTGAAGGGTGAGTAGGAGCTTAGCAACTGAGGAAGGAAAGCCAGAGGGAAAGATTCTCAAACATCTGGAAATATGACATGGTGTGGTGGAGCCTGGACCAGGGCACAGCCACCCCCAGTGAGCGGTCAAGGCCGTGGAAGGCCGGGTCTGGGTCCGGGGGATCTGAAGACCTGTCTTTGTCTCTTCGTACTCAGCCCTGAGGAGCCCCCTGACACTGTCCAGTCCATTCACCACATCCTTCAGCCTGAGCTCCCACAGCGCCCTTAACGGGGACCTCTCTGTGCCCAGCTCCTATGTCAGCCTCCACCTGTCCCCCCAGGTCAGCGGCTCTGTAGTGTATGGACGGTCCCCCATGGTGAGTGCTCGGTGTGGGGGCACCAGGTGCTATCAGCAGGATGCGGGGGGGGGGGCAGGGGGCCGGGAGGAGAAACCAATGACATAAGGAGAGACAAGGGAATAGGGAAAGGGACAAGGGACAGGAACCCCTGCTTGGCAAGTGCATATGCATGTGGGAGGGTGATCCGAGGGTCCCAGTGGCCCACAAGCTGAATACAAAGAAACAACAGTGAGTGTGCTGCACTGTTGGGAGCAGAGAGCCCCCGCCCCAGGGCTGAGGGTCCCCTTCAGGCCCCTGGCAGAGGGCGTGCCATTGCTAGTCCTGTTTTCAGGGACTGTGATGATTCCAGCAGACTGCGGACGAAGGACTAGGCCGGGGAGAGGACGAGAAGTGGGGTCTCAGGAGGAGTGGGAGGAATGGGGCATGAGACCTGTGAGCTGGGGCGCAGGGGGCAGACCCCTGTGGGCCCCAGAGGGCAGTACAGGGACAGATGGCTGAAGTGGATCAGGATCCCTCCAGAGGGAAGAAAATGCCGTCGTTGGGGACATCCCGGCCCCTAGGCTGGGTGGCACCTGGGAGGGATGTTGTAGAACGGAGCTCAGCAAGTATTTTCCGCAAGAGGCCAGACAGTAAATAGTTTTGACTTTGGAGACCGGGTGGTCTGTGTCACAGGTCGCAGCTACTCGCTTCTGCCTTCACAGCTCAGAGCCTCCACAGACAACATATAAATGAGTGGGTGTGGCTGTGTGCTAATAAAACTTTATTTAAAAAAGAAGCAGGGGGCCAGAGGTTGCCAACTCTGGGGTTCTAGGTTCCCTGGGCAGGGAGTCTTTGGCCGGAGCCTCTGCTCTCCTATCTGCAGCATGGATGGAGGACGGGGCTCCTCCTGGGGAGGGGCTGGTGAACCGGTGAGGGATCCTCTGATAAACAGAAACACCGCAGGTAGCCTGGGGGAGGGCAGAGGTGGCCTTCAGTCCCCTGCCCTGTGACACCCCCTCTGGCATTTTGGCAGATGGCATTTGAGTGTCACCCACATCTCCGAGGGTCATCCATCTCCTCCTCCCTGCCCACTATCCCTGGTGGAAAGCCGTGAGTATTGGCTCGGGGCTCCCGGCCTCCTGTCAGGTGCTTACCTTGTGGGGTGGGGGGCTGGGGTTCCCGGCTGCCTTTCCAGAAGATCTCTTTGAGGAGGTCTGGAGAGAGGGGTTATGTAACAAGCAAGATGTAGACCATTGCTTCTCAATGGGGGGGCGCCGGGAGGGGGGTTTTACCTTCCCCACCCCCACCCCAGGACGTTTGGCCTGTCTGGTGATATTTTGTGTTGCCACGCCCACATCCGGCCTCTCGTGGGTTGGGGCCAGCCATCCTGCTGCAGGCCCTGCAGCGCACAGACTGGCCCCGGCCCCAAGTACCCAGGAACTTCCTGCCGTGGCGGAACGTTCTGTACCTACAGCTGTCCAGGCTGATTGCCATCGGCCACCTGTGGCTTTGGCCACTGAGGAACCGGAGTTGTAAATGTATTTAAGCTGAACTGGCCGCCCGTGGCTGGTGGCACCCCTGGGCCCCGTTCTCGGGAGCTCTCCAGGCATCTCCCAGGGCTCGCGCACCGGGCACCGGGCTAGGCCTTTAGCACCACGCTGACTGTTGGGTCACATGTGATCACGGGGTTCCTTCCCCGAGGGCGTGGGGGCACCCGGGGCGCGGGGACGAGGGTGCCACCTCCAGGGCTGACCCTCCCTGCCGTCACGGTCCTCCGCCTGTCCAGGGCCTACTCCTTCCACGTATCTGCCGACGGGCAGATGCAGCCGGTGCCCTTCCCCTCGGACGCGCTGGTGGGCGCGGGCATCCCGCGGCACGCGCGGCAGCTGCACACGCTGGCGCACGGCGAGGTGGTCTGCGCGGTCACCATCAGCGGCTCCACGCAGCACGTGTACACGGGCGGCAAGGGCTGCGTCAAAGTGTGGGACGTGGGGCAGCCGGGCGCCAAGACGCCCGTGGCCCAGCTGGACTGCCTGGTGAGGGCGGGGCCCGCCGCCGGTGAGGGCGGGGCTTGTTCGGCGAGGGGGCGTGGCCTGTTCGGCAGGGTGGAGCTTTGGGGCCGTGGGGGCGGGGCCTGTCCGGCAAGGCGGGGCTCACAGCCTATGGAGACTGGACCTGGAGCCCTGGGGGCGGGGCTTGCCCGGTGGGGCGGGGCTTGGAGAGTGTGGGCGGGGCTTGTCCGGCAGGGCGGGGCTCACAGCCTATGGAGACTGGACCTGGAGCCCTGGGGGCGGGGTTTGTCGGGCAGGGCGGTGGCTTGGAGAGCGTGGGCGGGGCTTGTCCGGCGGGGGCGGGGCTCGCAGCCTACGGGGTGCTCTGGGGGCGCTCTGGGGGGCGCTCCGAGGCCAGGGCGGGAGGGCCAGCCCCACGCCCTCGCTTCTCTTCTGTCCCAGAACCGGGACAACTACATTCGCTCCTGCAAGCTGCTGCCGGATGGCCGGAGCCTGATCGTGGGCGGCGAGGCCAGCACCCTGTCCATCTGGGACCTGGCGGCACCCACCCCGCGCATCAAGGCAGAGCTGACCTCCTCCGCCCCCGCTTGCTACGCCCTGGCGGTCAGCCCCGACGCCAAGGTCTGCTTTTCCTGCTGCAGCGACGGCAACATCGTGGTCTGGGACTTGCAGAACCAGACCATGGTCAGGTGGGTGGTCCTGCCCCCTCTGCTTGGGTGCCGTGTGGGCCCGGGGTGGCCTGGGAGGGCACTGGAGCGGAAGCAGCTCCGGAGTGACGCCCGGGCCCTTCTCTCCGCAGGCAGTTCCAGGGCCACACCGACGGCGCCAGCTGCATCGACATCTCCGACTACGGCACTCGGCTCTGGACCGGGGGCCTGGACAACACTGTGCGCTGCTGGGACCTGCGGGAGGGTCGCCAGCTGCAGCAGCACGACTTCAGCTCCCAGGTGCTGCAGCGGGTCTGCTGGGAGGGCCGTAGAAAGTTTCTGGAACCCGGAGTCCCCTCCTCTCCACCCAAGGCACTCACTTCCAGAGGCCGAGTGGTTCAAATACCTGATGTCTGTCCATCTGTTCGTCCTTAAGACAAATCCGCAGGCCTCTCCCCTTAATTCTCCCAGGACAGCTACAGGGAAGCACAGAGGAGCTGATTCCTATGAAGCTGTGAGCCCACTAAGACCCTCAGATCGTTTTCCCAGATGCTTGTGCCACGCCACCCCCTTATTCCTTTGTTCCTCCTCCCCCCCCCCCCGGCCTTCAATCTCCTGACCCTCCTGAGAGCTCCTGACCACCCCCTACCCCCCACCGCCTTCACCCCCCTCTGGGACTCAGCATAGGGGAGCCACTGATCTGGAGAGACAGGCAAAGGTTGACACAGAAGTTGCACAGAGGTCTGTCGAGGGCGCTGTGGGAGTCTGGGCTGAAGGATGTAGCGACAGGGCTGGACAGAATCAGGGGACTCCTCAGGGCTGGGCACAGTCACCCAGGTCCTCTCTCCCACTGCCTCGGGACAGGGTGGGAGCTCCGTGGCCTGACATCTAAGACCCCCAAACTCTGGTCTCACACACACCATGCCCGGCCACACCTCTAGACTGCTCCACTTACTGTGCCCTCCAGCTGACACGCTTTCCCCTTCCTTTTACCAATTGGTGAGCTCCTGCTCATCCTTCAGAACCCACCTCCGTTTTGCCCCCTTCCTGGAAGCCTGGGGGTAGCTGACTCCCAAACCCTTTTCTGTTCTACCTTCCCTTCTCTTTAGCTTAAAAGTCTCTTTGATAAGGAAGGCAGGGTGCAGGTGGATGTGGTGGCCGGTCCCTTGCCCCCGAGACTTAGATGGGTTGTTCTCTGGGGACCCCGTGGTGAGTATCTCCCATCCCACTGGGCCACCTGTCTTTATTATACAGGGACGTTTCTGTGCGGCCACGAGAGAACACGTAAAACCTTCTTGTCTCCTCTCTGCTGTCAACTTAGGGTTCTTTCCACATGTGTCCCGTCAGTGAGATTGTGAGAAGTTTAGGGCAGAGCAAGGCCTCATTCTGCTCTGGACCTGCTCTGGCTGGGGCACGGGGTGATGAGGCCCCCAAGCCCCTGCAGATCCAAATAAAAGGAGGTGTTGGCAAGTGGGGCGCGTTCCGAGCTGGGAGTCCAAGGACCTGATCCTTCACGGCTGCATGACCTTGAGCGAGCGGGGGGCCTCAGCTTGCCTTCCACCATCTGCTCAAGGGGGCGGCTGTCCTCGGCCGGCTTCACGCCCGCCCACCCGCCTCCCAGAGCTGTTGTGCGTTCGGAGCGGATAATGGATGTGAGGCCCCAGGGTTCCGTGTAATTCTGATTAATATTAATGATTTGACATGCAGTTGCCTGCTGTGTTCCAGGCCCTGGGCCAGCTGCCTCTCCATGCGGGGCTGCGGCGGGAGGGCGCCGGACCTCCCCCCTCCACCCCCTCTGGGCATCCTCCAATATCGGAAGCGGGTTCTGATGCCCCCTCTTCCTTCTGCACCCCCAGATCTTCTCTCTGGGCCACTGCCCCAACCAGGACTGGCTGGCGGTGGGCATGGAGAGCAGCAACGTGGAGGTCCTGCACGTCCGCAAGCCAGAGAAGTATCAGTTGCACCTTCACGAGAGCTGTGTGCTCGCCCTCAAATTCGCCTCCTGCGGTGGGTGCTTGGGCTGGGCGGGGTGCTGGGGCGCTGGGGCGGGCTTTGCCAACCCACACGGCAGGACACAGGACGCCCGGTGGAATTCGAATTTTAGCAGATCACTCGTTAGTGTGAGGTTTTCCCAAGTATTGCACGGGACAGACTTACGGAAAGGCCACTGCTGTGTAAATGCCTACGTGTTCAGGAGATATACTTACACTAAAAAGTAAGCCAAGTGATTTTTAGTGTAAGTGTATCCCAAGCACGTAAACTACAAAGAATAAATGACGATGCTCGAGGCGCCTCTGTACTAAAAGTGATTTGTGATTTTCCCGAGACTCGAATGTAACTGGACATCCCAGATTTTATCCGGCAGCCCTCTCCTGGGGGCTCCCCCTTCTGGAAGCCAGACCGAGCCCCTTGGGGGTGCCCCCCTCACGAGAGCAGGGGTGTCCAAGAGAAAGGGAGAGGCCAGTCCTGGGTTGTCTTTGCTTCCTCCCTCCTGGAACTCCCCTGGCCCTCCCCTCCCCAGGGCGCTGGTTCGTGAGCACCGGGAAGGACAACCTGCTCAACGCCTGGAGGACGCCGTATGGAGCCAGCATTTTCCAGGTACCCGGCAGTCTGCAGCCCCCAGGGCAGGGCAGGGTGTCCCGGAGCCCCCAGGTGGTTGGTGGGTACACCATGTCCCCCAACCCCAGCCAGGAAGCTGCTAAAGCAGGGTCTGCAAACTGGCCACACGCCACATCTGCATGCACCCTGGGTTCTTTTAATTTCTATTCTTAACTTTTTTTAAAAAATATTTTATTTATTTATTCATGAGAATACACAAAGAGGAGAGAGAGAGGAGCAGAGACACAGGCAGAGGGAGAAGCAGGCTCCATGCAGGGAGCCTGACATGGGACTCGATCCCGGGTCTCCAGGATCACACCAGGGACTGAAGGCGGCGCTAAACCGCTGAGCCACCTAGGCTGCCCATGTTCTTAACTTTTAAAATATGTATAAAATTCACCATTGTAACCAACTCTAAGTGCACAGCTCAGGGCACGAAGCACACTCACCCCGCCCTGCACGCACCCCCACCACCGCCTCCAGAACCTTCCATCTCCCCACACGGAGGCCCCATCCCCAGGAAGCACTGACCCCCACCCCCCGCCCCACCCCTGGCTCCCACCACCTCTGTCTCTGTGGACGGGCCTCCTCTGGGGACCTCCTGAGAGTGGGGTCCTGCAGGAGGTGTCCTTCTGGGTCTGGGTCCCCTCCCTGAGCCTGGTGTCCTTGGGATCCGTCCATGTGGGGCAGGTGTCAGTCCCCTTCCTTCCTGGGGCTGGGTCGTGTCCCGGGTGTGGACGGGCCTCCTCTGGGGACCTCCTGGGAGTGGGATCCTACAGGAGGTGTCCTTCTGGGTCTGGGTCCCCTCCCTGAGCCCGGTGTCCTCAGGGTCCATCCATGTGGGGACAGGGGTCGGGGCCCCTTCCTCCCCGGGGCTGGGTGGGATTCTACAGTATAGATGGGCGGCATGGTGCTTATCCACTCACCATTTGACGGGCACCTGGTTTGCTTCCACATTTGGGCAACTTTGAATCATGCTGCCGTGGGCACGTTTTCATGTCTGGGGCATCTGTCTTGGAGTGGAATTGCTGACAACTGTGTAACCTCTGGACAAACTCTCCACCCCCCAGCAGTGCACGTGGGTTCAGAGTCTCTGCATCCTCACTGACACTTGTTATTGTGTCCTTTTTGTTCGTAGCCATCCTAGCGCGTGTGGGGCGATTTTTTTTTTTTTTTTACATTTGTAAAGGGCAGTACAGCAGAGGGAGAATGCTGTGACGCAGATTATTTTGGCCTCTGGACTTGTTGGCTAGAGACGTATTTGGACCTTTGGCAGAGCCTGAAAACTCATCGTTGGGCCCTTTACGGGTGTAGGTCGTCGTGGTGAGCCTTAGCGAGCCACCCTCGCTGTGCCGTGCGGCCTCGTGCCTGGCGCACACGCTCTGAGCGTCCTTCGAGAGGGCAGGGCCTCAGATCTCTCTTGGTGTCAAGAGAACAGAGGTCCTGCCCTTCCCAGGAGCACCGTCACCTGTCCTGAGGCTCAGTTTCAGTGGATGTTCCCCCTGGAACAACGTGTCACCCTGCTTCCCCTGTCATCACCCCCCACCCCTGGCCTGGGAGAGTCCCGACCCCCCTGCCAGCTGCCCTATCCCGTGTCCCATCCTGGCCCCAGCCTCGACTGCAGGGTGGAGACAGCAGGGTCCCTGGGTGAAACAAGGCTCATTCTTGGGGGTAGGGCCCCCCTCCACCCCCGCAGGCACCTGCCTCTTCCCACCTACCCCACCTCACCTCCCCCTTCTCTCCCTCCCCTCATCCCTGTCCCTAGTCCAAGGAATCATCCTCCGTGCTGAGCTGTGACATCTCCGGGAATAACAAGTACATCGTGACAGGCTCGGGTGACAAGAAGGCCACCGTGTACGAGGTGGTCTACTGAGACCCCCTCATGCCTGCAGCCCTGGCCTGGCTCCTGGGGGAGGGGCATCCCGGAAAGAGACCCCGACGGCCCCCCTCTGCTCCTACCTTCCAGTGCTACGTCCCATCAGCCCTCTGGCTGCCTCCCTCACACCTGCCCTCGCTGGACTCACGGGGGGCTGGATGGGCAGGTGGACTTTGGGGAAATAAATGTATTTATCACAACTTCCTTTCTGTCCTGGGCTGGAGGATGGGGGTCAGAGGGGCGGGGGGCATTGCTTTCCCCGGGCCGTGACCGGGGGCAGGCTGGGTGGGAGACAGGTGTGCTGTGGGGCCGCACAGCACAGGTGATGCCCGGGACCAGGGGCCGGCCCCCACGATCTGCGCGCCATCTGGGAGACGGCAGGGCTCCAGGACAGTGGAGATTCGCCGTCACGATGTGTGGCTTCAGCACCCGGCGCAGCAGCGGAGGGAGTCCCAGGCAGCCTTGTGTGCTCTGGCCCAGGGCTGCTGTGCGCCTCACTCCCGGCCCAGGGGACAGGATCATCCCAGGGCGCCGCGCACATACACAGGGGACTTACTGCATGCAGCACGTGGCTCTTTGGGGTGCTTCCCTCCGACCCCCACAGGTGATGCTGAGAGGCTGGTGCACAAGGACGCCTGGCCCACCCCAAGGTGCTAGTAAGCAAGCAGTCCCAGGGGAGGTGACGGTAGAGCGTAAACCGAGAGCTAACGAGAAGCAGCCGCTGCACCCGAGTGTGCAGGTCCAGAGGGAACCGCGTGTGCACAGGCTCCGAGGGAAGGAGCTCGGCCGGGTGGAAACCAGGCCGGCGGGGTCTGCAGCCCAGGCTGCAGCAGAGGGAGTCTATGGACGTGGGCCAGCCTGGGGCGGGGCCGGCCTCAGGTCTAGGTTCTGGAAGCTCCTGTGGAGGGAGCTTCCCGTGGGGGGGCCGTGGTGAAGCAGGGACGCTGCTGGGGACCTCCTGGGTGGAGATGGTGGGGTCCCTGGGGGAAGCCAGTCACACTCTGGGGAGTTTCGGAGAGGAGAGTTTCTCTGGGCAAGGAAAGCAGACCTGTTGGCACCATGGGGACGCTTATCCCGGAGGGCCAGGGCCACCAAAGGCTGTGAGAGCCCCTGGGAGAGGGGGGAGAAGAAGCCAGCCGGCCAGTGACTGCTGTCCACTACTCTCTCCCCACTCACTCGATGCCAGGCATGCCACCACCCCCCCAAAGTCACAATGACGGCTCCCGTCCACAGATGTTGCCATGTGCCCCCCCGGGGTTAGGTCCACCCCGAGGTGAGATGCACCCACCTACTGCAGCGGGGCTCTCGGGAGGGTGGAGGACCCCATCCCTGGGTGGGAACCCCCCTCCGGGAGGGGTGAGGGGGGATCAGCTTACCGGGACAGGAAGGAGTGGTCCATACCCACCCCTACTCCCAACAGCAGGGAGGTCAGCAGCTTTGAAGGGGTGCTCAGGGAATGCGGACTCAAGGCTGGGAGACCCAGCTGGCCAAGTCCTCCCAGACCTCTCTACACGGCAGGGCCCAGCAAGGGCTGCACGACAGACCAGACCCCTCTGCGTTTTCCAGTTGCTTTATTACAGGCCACAAAGATCGCTGGCCCAGTCGTGCAAAGGGAAAGACACCCGGCCCACCCACCACGACGCCTCCACCTTGTTAGGGGAAAAAGACAAAAGAAAAAGACAGGAAAAAAGGATCCAGATCCAGGGTGCAGACGCCAGCGCCGGGACCCTCAGTAGGTGAGCTGGTACACTGAGGCGTGGGCCTCGGACCCCGTGACAATCAGCCGGTTGTTGGGGGACACATCGCAGCACAGGATGGAGGTGGCCTCGGGCACCTGGGAAGGCAGGAGGCCGGGATGCGCTGAGGGGGCTCCCCGCCCCAACCCCCACCCCAACCTCCCCATCAGTTCACGCCTGGGCCCCCCGCCCCGGGGCCTTTGCTTCAGGACCCTGCACTCAGCACAGGAGCCGGGCACGGCCCCCCGCAGCCCCTGCCGCACCTGGAACACCAGGGTCCCCGCGGGCATGCCGTAGATGCCGAGCAGGTCGTCGGTGCCAACGCTCACCCACCACTGGCCTGGAAGGGGGGACGGGACACCTGGCGGCTGAGGGCAGGGCCCCGCCCCCCTCACAGCCTGGGGGGAGCATCGCTGGGTGGCTTCTGCTGATGAGGGGCGCTGGGGGTGGGAGGGCCGGGAGGACTCCCCCGCCTGCTCCTGGCCGCTCACCGAGTGGGGAGAACTTGAGACCCAGGATGATGCCATCCTTACACCCCACCATGTGCTTCTGGCCGCCTCGGGTGGGCTGCAGCCACTGCTGGCCGTTGGCTGTGCCCACCAGCACCCAGTCCTCCTGGGGGCTGGGGGACAGGCTCATGATCTGGGGAGCGGGCAGCAGGGAAGAGGTCCGTCAGGTCCTGGACTGCGAGGTGGACAGGGGCACAGGGACCCTGCGTGGGGTGGACCGCCTGCCAGCTTCCTGGCTTCTGAGGCCCTGACAGGCAACTTTGTACCTCTCAGCCTCAGTCTGCCCATCTGCAAAGTGGTTTGGTGCTCTCTACCTCAGGGATTATGCGCGCCTAATACAGAGTATGGAAGTGTCCCATGTCATTGGGGGCCCCGGGCAGCTGGGGGGTGGGGTGGGGATGACGTTTCTCACGACCCTAGGACTCCCAACACCAGAGACCTAGGGTCCCGCTACCCCATTCCTGCAACATCCACCTCCTGCTTTAGTGCACGGCCCATCCCAGCTGCATACCTGAGACTCGAACTGGTATTCGAGGGGCTCTCTGGTGGTCCTCAGGTCCCAGCACCGCAGACAGGTGTCCAGACCCCCTGTCCAGATGTTCTGCTCTTTGACAGCAATGCTCTTGGCTCCAGGCGGGTGGCCCAGCAGGTCCCTGGACAGAAGGGGTGTCAGGAGGGCATCAGGGCTCAGAATGAGCCGTGGGAATACCACATGCTCCATCACACCCAGGTGATACATGGGGAAACAGAGGCAGACCATAAGAGCCACTACTGGGCTTGGAAAACCCCCCGCCAGAACCTGAAGTCTGGCCTTCAGCTCCCTGGGGTGCAAACGTAAGCAGGAAGGGGCTTTCAGGATGAGCCCGCCCGCCCCGGGCCTCACCTGACAACGCTCTGGTCCCGCAGGTCCCAGATCCTGACCGTGCCGTCAGTGAAGCCGGCGAAGGCCAGGCTGTCCCTGGGGTTGGAGGCCAGGGCCTGGCAGGAGAGCCCCATGCAGGGCAGCTCCCGGCTCACATGCAGGGAGGGCGCAGTCAGGTCCCACACGCTCACGCTGGCCAGGTTGTGGCCGCCCGTCAGCAGGGTCGTGCTGTCCGAGGACAGCAGGCAGGTGCGCAGGTAGGCCTGGCGGGTCTGCAGAGGCCGAGGGCGGAGGCTGGTGAACTTCCTCCGCCGCGGGAGCCCCTCCTGCTCCCACGAGCCAGCCCCTCCCTCACCTGAACACCCAGGTGGCTCTCAGGACACCTGTCCTCCAGCCCCTGGCCCACCAGGCTCCACACTTTGACGCCGCCCCGGCCGCAGGTGAAGGCGTGGCGCATGAAGCTGCTGACGGCCGTGGCCAGCACCGGCTCCCCGTGCCTGAGCGTCCGCATCTTCTGGGCTCGGTGGGGGAGGGCTGACTTCTTGGACTGCCAGGGCAAGGCGTCCGGTCTCCTCCACGTGTCCTCGAAGTCCTCAGGGTCCCAGAGTCTTGGGAGGGGAGGCCGCGGGGTCACCAGCTTACCTGTGAGCCTCTCTGCCCGGAGGGGGCACCCACTGAGCCTGAAGAGCTTCGTCTTTCAGATTTGGGGTTCCTTCTCAGGCCTTGTTTCCCGACTACACCGGGCTTCCCCCAGGGGGCACCCATGCCCCTTCAGGTATTCTCCCTTCCATATAACCAAACATCACTCCTACTGGGAATGCGTTGCCTCATCCTAGCAAACCCCTACTGATCCAGCAAGATCCTAACCGTCATGCCCCTTCCCTCCAGGAAGCCTCCCCGTCCTTGTCGGGGCTCCCCCAGCCTCAGACCACAAGGTTGGGACTTCCACATGCAGCTCTAACACCCTCTTTCCACGGGAGTTCTTTCCCTAGATCCCTAAATTTCCCCCTAGATTTCCTTTCCCTAGAACCAGGAGCTGGTTATGTGGGGAGGGACAGCCTGAGTGCAGCCGGAGCAGCACGTTTCTACCCAGACCCCTGAGCTCTGGGGACAGAGCACTGTCCACGGTGGTGGGGAAGGAGGAGACACCCGCACGTCCGGTGCCCTCTCCGCCTGGGATGGGGGTACAGAGGAGAGGGGACAGCACAGAGACTCACATGGGCTTCAGGAACGGACAGGCTCTCCCAGCAGGCTCCTGTGGGGTCCAGGGTCCGCTGAGCCATGCCAGCTCCCCGCGCCCCTGTCCTCAGCCCTCGGGGAGCCTGCCGCATGGGACGGGGCCTCACCTGGGCCACGCGGGAGAACACGCCCTCGGCTCTGGTGCCTGGCTCTGCACTCCCTTCCCGGGAGCCCTCGGGGGAGCTGGGGGGGCTGGGGGAGTCCGTGGGGGGGCTGGCAGCTGGGCAGAGACGAGGAGGGGTGAGTGGCAGGCGTGGGGTCCCCGGGGCCGGCTGCTCCCGGCGCCCCCCACGCTGCGATTACCCAGAGGGTCTTCGGTACGCGGTTCCAGTCCCGGGGGGTGTGGCCCTGGGTCCTGACTCTCCTGCCACGGGCATTGGGGGCGATCAGTTCCAACCAAAGGACCTGCCCCGGGTCAGTCGTGGACCCAGAAGGCCTTGCGGAGGCCAAGGTGGCGTAGACGAGATGCGTGAACAGGCCCCAAGTCCTGTGCAGGTGGAGCTGCAGGCTCGGGGCACAGTCCCGGGTCCTCTAAGGGCATCCAGGGCTCGGGACCGGAGCCGTGGACCTGGATCCCAGCAGCCGGGAGCCCCCCCTCCGGGGACCGCGAGGTCACTCACCGGGCCCAGCGCCGGTCCCGTCCCTGTGCCGACGGAGGGGAAGCCGGTAGGAGGTTCAGTGGTGCTGCCCCCCAAGCAGCCCCAGGCCTCCCACCCCCGGGGACACTCACGCCAGTGCCGTGGCTGGTCCCCCTCCTCGTGGGTCCCTGCAAAGACCTGCCACAGCTGCTCGGTCAGAACATCCTGCCAGAAGCGGGGCTCAGAGTCCCAGGAGGGCCGCCTGGGCCAGTGCGGCGACCCTGTGGCCGTGGCGTCTGACAAGTGCGGCCGCGGGGCCCCGGGGTGCGGGGAAGCCTTGGGGCTCGCCGGCCCCCAGGAGCCCCGCTCAGCCTGCACATCGGAGGGGCCCTGGCTCACCTGGCGGCAGAAGGACACGGTGGTGAGGGCCGAGAGGACCCCACCACCCCACGTGCCCCGTGCTCCCAGCCGGTCCCCTCCCTCCCGAGGGCCCAGGCACCCACCTCCCCCGGCTGTAAGCCCGGAGGCCTGCTCCAGATCTCCATGGTCCGCAGGAAGCTTTCTGCCTGGGGGGGGGGGGGGGCGTGACACACGACACAGCCCAGCTAGGCCTTCCTTGGGTGGGGATGGCCTGGGCACAGATCTCGTCCTGCACGTGAAATGGGGACACGCTGCCTGCTTTGAGCGTGTTTTGGGTGGATTCGTGAGAACACGGAGCCCGCCCGCTACACAGAGTGCAAAGCAACTTCCTGGCACCCAGGACTCAGCAGCTATCCCTAACCCTAACCCTAACCCTAACCGCCGGTCATCATCGTAGAGGGGTACCGAGTACCGTCAGGTCTGGGTTCCTGTTCCAGCTGCTTTTCTTAGGTTGCTTGAAAACTAAAGCCCCAGGGACACCTGGGGGGCCCAGCGGTTGAGCATCTGCCTTGGGCTCAGGGCGGATGAGTCTTGCATCGGGCTCCCTGCAGGGAGCCTGCTTCTCCCTCTACCTGTGTCTCTGCCTCTCTCTGTATTTCTTACAAATAAATAAAATCTTAAAAAAAGAAAAAAAAAAGTAAAGCCTCCACACCACCCTGCATACAATGGCTTCGAGGAGCCAATTCCGTTTGCGCGTCTGTCCCTCTGTGCGGGGACACGCGAACTTGCCAGGTGTTGGAAGGATACGAAGAAACCAGTGATTATCTCTTAGGGAGGGGGGCGGGCAAGGGGACAAGAGGGGCCCTGTGAAGGGTCACGTAACGTCACTCTGTGCTTAAACATCAGGCCACGGGACTACCAGGAATTCCAAATTTAAGTGAACAGGTTCCCTGGGCCTGAAAGGGGCTGCGAGATCCAGGTTCCCTCCTCCCACGACCAGCAGGCTCCCATCTGCCCGTCCTTTTAGGATATGGGCTCCCTCCTCTGCCACAGCTACGAGCTGTGCCCGGAGCCCCTCCTGCCCTGCACAGCAGCTACCAGCCACAGAAAGTTAAGTCCCAGTAAATTTGGAGGCGGGGGGGGGGGGGGGGGCGCCAGTGGCTCAGCCTGTGAAGTGTCTCCCTTCAGCTCAGGTCATGACCCCCAGGGTCCTGGGATCGAGCCCCAGTCCGGGCTCCCTGCTCAGCGGGGACTCTGCTTCTCCCTCTCCCTCTGCTCATGCACTTTCTTTCTCAAATAAATAAGAAAGAAAATCTTAAATAAGATAAAAACGCAGTTTCTCCAGCCCCACTCAAGGGCTCAACAGCCACGTCGGGCTGGTGGCTGGGATGTGGGTGGCCCAGGTACCCAGAGGAGGGGTCCCTGGCAGGTGCCCGGCGAGGCTGGAGCCTCTTAGCCAGTGCTCCTAAGAAGTCAGAGCGGGGACACCCATCTCCTTGGCCTGATAAAGAGCTCCCTGGGAACGTGCGTGTGCAGCTATATTTAGCGATCGCCGAGCGTCCTGGCCCTGACTGATGCAGTAGCTGCTGGCTTCACGCGGCTGCTGAGCCCCGGAAACGTGGCTGGGGCCACTTGTTTATGGTCAACTTCAGTATAAACAACCACACGTGCCCTGTGGCTACCGGAGAAGCCAGCGCAGGTCTGGTCTTGGCCTACGGCACCCCAGAAAAGCGGTGTCCCTGGGCCTCATCAATGCACGCCCCTCCGTGGCAGACACCTAGTGGCTCCCCACACTTGCCTGGCCCTGGGCGAACTCCCCGATCCTGGGAAAACATGTGCTTCACCAAGAAAGAATGACTAGGGCGACGCGGTCGGTCCTGTCTCACGGCAGCTCCTGGCATTCCCAGTTTGCAGACGAGAAAACAGAGGCCCCGGGAAGCAAAGCCAATTTCCCAAGTCAGGAGGACTGGGGGGAAGGGGGGGGCCAGGCGGCGTCAACCTGCTTCCAGGGCAGCCTGGTCTGGCGCGCGCGGGCGGGCGGGCAGGACGGCAAGGGAGGGGGCCGGGCAGGCAGCAGGGACCCCTCTCTGAGCCCCCATCCCTGGCTGGATCCCGGCTGCCCCCAGCGGCGGGCCTTGGTGATGGTTCCCCAGCTGGGCCTCCCTCCCGCCGCACAGGCCCAGGGGAGCCTTCCCCAGTTCGCCTTGGCTCGTTAATGCGCAATTTACTGGCACTTGAATGCACTCAGCGTGAAAAGTGCTGCTCCCCCCTGCCGGCTAGGCCCTCCCCGGGAGCAGGGGGTGGGGCTGCGGGGACACAGGGGCCTCTCTGGGCTCCTGGCTTCAACAGCAGCTACTTGGGGTCCTGTCCCCTCACATCCTGACGCTCAGCAAGTGCTGTCGGGATCATCCACATCCTGATCCCCTACTGCCAAAGCCTCTCAGCGCCCAGCAGCTCACCCATCCTCCAGGGCCCGTGAGCCCGAGTCAGGTGCCCCCCCCCCACAGCCCTGTGGGCCTCCCATGATGCTCCTGAGCACCTGCCCTGCCCCCTCCTTGTCCTCCTCTCCTCATGCTGCTCCAGCCACAGGGCCTCCTCTGTTGTCAAACACACTGGGTGGCAGTGGCGCTGTCTTACCCCAGGACCTTTGCATGGGCCGTGCCCTCTATTCCACTCCTCCCATCCCAGACCTCCCTGATCGCCTTCAAGTTTGCTCAGATGTCACCTCCTCAGCAAGACTTCCCACCCCTGCCCTTTCCCTCCAGTCCCCTAGGGCTGCTCTAATCCATCCTGCACCTTGTCCAGCCCTCACCATCTGACACTCCTGTTTACCAAGCTCCCGCCACCCAAGGGCAGAAGTTTGTCTGTGTCCTTCTCTGCAATTTCCCTGGCGCCTACAACAGCACTTGGCAAGAAGGTGATGGATAAATATCTGTTGAATGAATAACCGTGTTCTGGTTTCTTCCTGCCCCCCCCCCTCCGGCCCCCGTCACTCTGGATCCGTCCCTCCCTGCTCCCCGCACTGCCCACCCCAGGCCCTGCTAAGTTGCAGACACGGTCCTGGCCTCCTGCCAGTCACATCTGGCACAGGCGGAAAGTCCTGCCAGCACCCAGGAGACAGGGGCCAGGTGGCGGGAGGACGGGCGGGAGTGGAGGACGTGCTTCAGCTTGGGCCGGCGCCCTGTGCGGGGAGCTGGGCCCACCCCGCCCCCGCTCACGTGTGATCCAGGCCCTCGAGAACTCGCAGACACACGGAAGACTGTAATCCGGGTGTGCCTGGCACGGAGCAGGCCCTTCAGAGCGGAAGCAGCTGACCTGCAACGTGCTGGGAAGGCCCCTGGCCTCATGGGAGCCACACAGGGACCCGGGAAGCAGGCCAGGAGGGAAGAGCCTCGAGGACGAGGATGGATGGACAGATGGAGATGCACCAGGAAGGGGTAGGGTGTGTGTGTGTGTGTGTGTGTGTGTGTGTGCGCACGTGTGCATGGCAGGGAGGGATCCATCCACCGATCCCCGCTCCCTCTCTGCCCACAGCCCGCCAGGGCTCCCACCTCTTTTGCGGAAAACCCCAAACCTTCCCTGCAGTCCTGACAACTGTCACCATGCTCCCCCCTCCCCCACCTTTCAGGGAGGACCAGCCATACCCCCAGCTCCTGGTTACTCACTCACCTGCCGGTGATGTTCCTGGAGATCCTGCCGCACCTTCTGGAGCTGCAAGGAACAGCAAGGATCGCACCCGGAGGTGGCTGTCGCAAGTGGAGGAGAGCAAGGAGTCGAATGGCGAGCATGCTTCTCCCTAACTGTGCGACTCCGCAAAGCTGCTCTACCTCTCTGGTCACTACACTCATCAAAAAGGAGGTGACCTACCACACGGAGTGGAAGCGAATCAAGGAGACCCTCGGATTTCATTCTCCACGTGAAGTACAAAGACCCCACAGCCACAAGGCCCTGCACACCTGCTCCCGGCCCCTCCCCTCCACCTTCTGCTCCAGCCACACAGGCCTCCTTGCCCATTCCTCCAACAGACCAAGGCCAGTCCTGCCCCAGGGCCTTTGCACAGGCTGTGCCTCTGCTCGGAATCCCCTTCCCCACTCTCTCTGGGATGGCAGGACCTCCTTATCTTCCACATCTCCCTGTGAACACCACTTCTTCCAAGAAGCCCTCCCTGACTAGCTTAGCTCAGTATCTGTATCACTCCATCCCATTATCTTCTGTCTCCTTTATAGTGGTTACAATTTGTGAAGCCCGTTTCTCTACTTTCTTATCTCTCTCCTTGCCCCGGGGGTGCCCTGTTCATGGAGCTAGCCACTAGTCAAGTGTGGCTATTTAAATTTAATCAAGTTAAAAATTCAGTTCCTGGGGCACCTGGGGAGCTCAGTCAGTTAAGCATCTGCCTTCGGCTCAGGTCATGATCTCAGGGTCTGCTTCTCCTTCTCACCTCTGCTTGTGCTCTCTTTCCATTGCTCTCTCTCGAATAAATAAGTAAAATCTTAAAAAAAAAAATTGGTTCTTTACAAGTTCTCAACAGCCACAAGCAGCCAGTGGGTGTCATATTGGGTACTGTTGGTATAGAACATTCCCATCGTTGTGGAAGGTTCTAGAAGACCAGCACCACACCAGCTCATATACTCCTCATGAGCAGGGGCTCCCGTTACCTATCCCTCAGTGATGAGTGGTCAGCCAAAGAAACCCTTCCTTTAAATATGGAATGTCTAACTTTGGCAGCGAGGTGTGCACACATGAGGAAAAACGCTCCTGGAGAAGCTGGCCTGCTGGGGGACCTTGCTCGCCCCAAGGAAGCAGAAGCAAGTGGAGGAGACCACATCCCCAAGCCCGGCTCCTGGGGGCTGCCCGGGGTGGCTCACCGTGTAGTACATGCTGTCCACCTGCGCTGCCAGGTGAGGGGATAACCTGTGGGGTCGGGGAGGGGGGGGAGCAACCGAAGAAGAGCCCTCAAGACCCCTCCCCAGAACTAGAGCCAGAACCACCCCACCCAGGCCTGGCCCCTGCGCACCCCTCCAAGGAGCCACCCCAAGGCGGCATCAGAGATGCCGTTTCCTTGCAATGTTTTTAAACGTATAATTGGTGCAAAAAAATTCATGCTAAACAACACAAGGACAACTGGAAAATTCAAATGAAGGCCCGGATTGGTAATGGTGCTTCTTTCCTATTGCTTCAGGCTCCAATAAGGCTCTTTGTTACCAAGTTCTGTCAGTTGGACCAGGGGCTGCTGGGCCACCCAGAGACCAGGTGGGAGTCTCTCCCCCTCCACGCGGGCCCCTGAGAGCCACCCTCACCTGGGGAACTGCTCTCGGAGCTGACCCAGGACACCGTGGTAGTTCAGTTCAGGAGCCTGGGAAGGTCAGAGGAGGCTGTAGATGAACCCCCGCCTCCCGCTCTCCCACCCTCAGGCCACATTTCCAATCAGCCCCCCAGAGGGTGGGCTGGGACCCGCCTAAAACCTGCAGGGAGGGGCACCTGGGGGGCTCAGTCAGGAGAGCATCGTGATCTGGTGATCTCGGGATCCAGGCCCTCGTGGGCTCCCTGCTCAGCGGGGAGTCAGCTTCTCCCTCTGCCCCTCCTCCCACTCGTGCTCTGTTTCTCCCTCTCTTTCAAATAAATAAAATAGTAAAAAGCAAAAACCCAAACCTGAAGGGAATTTGCTTTCTCTGGTTACTTAAGTCCCCACGGAGTGTCTCCCATTTTGCCTCTTGGCCTAAAGTCTCAAATACAGACTCTCTGGAGAGCCCTCGAGAGAGAAAGGTCGCCCACCCCGGCCTCAACCACTATAAAGGGTCCTCTCTGGAGAAGGAGGGGCTTCTGTTCCTAAAGTATTAACCAGAAACGACGTAGGCATGTGTTTGATCACCTGCGTGATGAGAAGCAGGTTCAATTTAAAAAGAAAGTGGCCTGGCACCTGTCAGTGGCCTGGCCACCCGCCCGTGTCCCTCCCTCAGGAGCAGGAGAGCAAGGTCTGAGCTGAGCCCCCTTCCCCCGCAGTTAATACTCTCCTCACCAAAGTTCCTGGGGGCCTCCTCATCCTTGGAGGGTGCTGCTGGCGGCTGAGACGGTCCCAAGAGGTCATCTTCAGGCAGTAGCCAAAGGACTTTAGCCTGGAACTCCCAAGGAGAGATGGCAGGTCCCTGAGGGCAGAAGGCCGGGCAGCCAGGGGCAGAACCGACCCCACCCCACCCCTGGCCTGGATCCCAAGCCCCCTCCCTGATTTCCGGCCCCCCACTGCATGCCCTAGACCCTTTGTTCATTTGTCAAACTCTGCTGCCTCCACCAGCCCCAACTCATAGGAGCGTCATTCCAGGAGGTGGACGTTGACGGTGCCAAACACTTACACTCCCTGCCAGGAGCTGTCACTGCTGGGGACCCCGGGGAAGGACGCTAAAACTCAGCCTTAGTGTTGAGACAACTTCCCAGAGCCTGGGTAAACATCATTGGGAAAGGGTTTTGAGGGATGAGTAAGAGTCGGCCAGGTGAATTAGGAGGGATTTCTCAGGCAGGAGGAAAGAGACCGCTCTCCACCCCAGGCACTCCTCCGGCCCTAAGCCCCTTCTTTGCCTGGCTTCTGGCCCTCAGCGGCCTCCCCGGCCCCAGGGCACGGAGGTCCTCCCGGAGGCCCCCCTCCTACTCCCCCCCCCCCCCAGGATAGAGGCCCAGTACCCCAGGACGAAACTGCGGGAGGTCAACCAAGTTCAGGCCCCGAGAGAACGCCCCTCCACGTCTCCCCTCCTCCCGGGGCCCTTTGACCCGGCCCGCCCCGCCCCGGCCCGCCCAGACCCCGCCCCTGCCCGCCCCGGCCCCGCCCCGCCCGCCGCCACCTGCACCACGAGGACGATCAATGAAGGAGCAGCCGCTGCACGTGGGCTCGGACTCCGCGGGCGGCCGCTGCAGGCTCTGGCCAATCGCGAGGCCGCCTGCCCACGTGGGCCGCGGCAGCTCGCGCTGATTGGTCGGCTCCCCCCAGCCGCCGGCCCGGCTGTCAATCAGCGCTCCCGGCGCCTCGGCTTAACCCTTGCGCTACCGCTGTGGGGAAGGGCGGTGTGCAGAGCCGCGGGCGGTTTGGGGTCCCGGCGGGGGCGAGGATATTTAAGGAGGGCGTGGGGCTTGGGGTCACAGGGCGCAACCCCGGAAGGGGCTGGGCGGTGTGAGGTTGCTTTGTTTGGTGAAAAGCCGGATCAGTTTTGGCGCGCCCCGGAGTGGTTTAGGGTAAAGGTGGTGCTGGGAGAGGGGACCCGAATCCTTCCCCTTCATCCCAATCCCCGGATAGGGGCTGATAACATTTTCCTCGATATGAATGACGGGCAGTGCAAGCGAAGCTTCAAGCCCCCTTAATGGGGAAAACAGCTCCCCTTTATCCAGCACCCAGTCCTGGGCTCTCAATTTTTGTCGTGAATTTTTCCCAACTGCTCCCCAAGCCCAGGATCTGAGAACCAAAAGCAGGGGCTGCAGAGGCCTTGAAACTGGTACAACTTTTCCAGCTTCAAGGCCAGGGTAGGAAGGGTGGTGGTGGGCATTCCAGGCCTGGGATGATAGAAAGATAAGGGATGGGGGCGGTAGGGGGGTGTCCAGGGATTCTAGAGTTGTTCTCTGGCTCGGTTTGCAATGCTTACTGGAGGTGTGCTGTGGTCCTGCCCACCCCAGGACCTTTGCACTAACCATTTCCTCCTCCACGGGACTAGTCTCCCCCTGACAGTCACGGCCGGCCGTGCTCCCTCCTTGAGCAGTCTACCCGAGGTCACCACCTCCCCAGGTCTCCCCTCACATCTCTTTTAAAAATGAACTTCCAACACCACCCCCACCCTCCCTTTCTTTTTTCATTTTTCTCCAAACGTGGTTTGAATTGGCACTAATCTCGTGGTAATCTCAGTGGCTGTAAGTCCTGCTGTGTTCAAAATTCAGGTAACTGCTGATGGGATTCTCAGACATTCTCGCACGGGCCACGGGGCGCCCGCCTGTCCCTGCCCGGGTGGGTATGCTGGCGTGGGATCCAGGGGAGTGTGAGAACACTCCGCTGGCCCCTCTTCTGTGATTTGTCTGGGGTAGGGGCACCCTGGGGTTCAGATCTCAGGATGCACAGTCCCCCCTGGAGGTTGTAATGTAAACACACAACTTGGGTTTTGTGGCTGGTGTATGGAGGGGAAGTGAGGGCTGCCATGTGTGAGCCGCAAAAAAGGTTTTCGCCCATGATCCCTCCACTGGCCCTTAATTGAAGTGTATTTTATTTATGGGCCAGCCTGCTAATTGCCTCCTTCTGTGCACTTGGCTCTCCTCCTCTCGCGGTTGCTGGGCACACCAGTTTATCCGAGGCTGTCTGTCTCACACGGGATCCACTGGGTACCTGTGGCTATTTAAATTAAAACAAATTAAAATTAAATAGAATTAAAAACTCAGTTCCTTAGGCTCACTGTCCGCATGTCAATCGCTCAGTAGCCACACAAGGCTGGGGATGACCATCCACCCCAGGGCAGTGAGAATCTAGAACATTCCCAGCCTGGCTGAAAGTTCCAGGGGACGGCACAGATCTGAGGCCTGTGAAGAGGAAATATCCCTAGGTCCACGTCGAGGTCAGAGAGGTCAGAAGCCTCTCCCCCCCAGAGGTTGTTTTACTTTCTTCTGCTGAAGCCCCACCTGCAGGTGGGGTGGCAGCTGGGTCGGCTGGCCTGCGCTCACCCCTTCCTGCCTCCCACTGGCCCCCGCATAACCCGGGCTGGCCCCCAGGGATGCAGCCTGCCTCGAGCCCTCTGGAAGAGCCAAGGGCACAGTAGAGAGGAGGGCAGGCAGCAAAGATGTGCTTCTTGGCTTTTGAGTTGTTGCGGTTGGTAGACTTGGAAGCCCAAGGTCTGGAAGAAAGATTGACAGAGAAGGGGTTTGCATTTCCAAAGCTCTGCAATTCCTGGCTTGCCCTGGCTGACCCAGGCTCCCAGAGGCTCAGGGTTACTGGGGTTGGGCGTAGGCCCAGACGGAAGGCTCGAGGGAAAGCCCAGGCTGCAGAGGGGGGCTATGGAGTGACCACAGGGAGGTGGTGGCAGGTTCCAGTCCCCCCCCCAGGACATCCCAGTGGCCCCTGTGGCCAAGTGACTATAGCCAAGTGACCCGAGGTAAAGGAGCAGCTGCAGAGCCCCCGCAGGTAGAAGGAAGGACCCTGGTGTCTGGTCAACAGATGAATAATCAAGAGGCGGAAGGACAGACACCCTCCAAAGACGGTGGCCGGTGGCGGGACTGGGTGAGACTCAGGGGCAGGATGCCTCTGGGCTGTGGCACTCTCCGATGCCACAGGAATGCCCTTGAACTTGGACCTAGCCCCAGGAAAAGTGAATTGATTGAATTACCCAGAATTGATTGAAGTTTGCCTTCTGCCATCTGGTGGATGCAGGCTCGAATTCACTTCCGGGGCTGCTGCAGCCAATGACAGCGAACCTGGTGGCTTCGAACAGCAGCAGCCTACTCTATTCTGTTCTGGCGTCTGAAATCCAGGTGTCAGCGGGGCTGTGCACCCTCATCCCCCCACCCCCCCTGTCCTTCCTGTTTCCGCGGTGGCCACTGATCCTTGGTGTCCCTAGGCCAGTAGACACATCCCTTCTTTTTTTTTTATTTTTTTAATTAAAAAAAATTTTTAAATTTATTTATGATAGTCCCACAGAGAGAGAGAGAGAGAGAGGCAGAGACACAGGCAGAGGGAGAAGCAGGCTCCATGCACCGGGAGCCCGACGTGGGATTCGATCCCGGGTCTCCAGAATCGCACCCTGGGCCAAAGGCAGGCGCCAAACCGCTGCGCCACCCAGGAATCCCAGACACATCCCTTCAATCTTTGTGTCCGTCCTCACATGGGGTTCTCCCTCTGCATGACTGTGTCCAAATTCTCCTCTTCTTTTTATTCATTTAAGATTTCATTTTTGTATTTATTCATGAAACACACAGAGAGAGGCAGAGACACAGGCAGAGGAAGCAGGCTCCCTATGGGGAGCCCGATGAGGGCCTCGATCCCAGGACCCCGCGATCATGTCCTGAGCCGAAGGCAGACACTCAACCGCTAAGCCACCCAGATGCCCCCAAATTTCTCCCTTCTTCTTTTCTTCTTCTTCTTCTTCTTCTTCTTCTTCTTCTTCTTCTTCTTCTTCTTCTTCTTCTTCTTCTTCTTCTTCTTCTTCTTCCTTCTTCTTCTTCTTCCTTCTTCTTCTTCTTCCTCCTCCTCCTCCTCCTCCTCCTCCTCCTCCTCCTCCTCCTCCTCCTCCTCCTCCTCCTCCTCCTCCTCCTTCTTCTTCTTCTTCTTCTTCTTCTTCTTCTTCTTCTTCTTCTTCTTCTTCTTCTTCTTCTTCTTCTTCCTTTTTTTTAAATTTCTCTCTTCTTAAAGGACACCAGTCGTGGGATCTAGGGCCGCCCTGCTCCAGGATATCATCTTAACTAATCACACCTGAAATCATTCCCAGCTATTGGGAGGTTAGGACTCAAAGGGATTGTTTTGAAGGGCACCATTCTACTCCCCCACGGGCTCAAAGGGGGCGTTAAGTAGCTATAACCCACCACGAATCCAGAAAGGTTAACTGACCCCTCCGGGGCCATGGAGCTAGGAAGGGGTGAGGCACGGACTTGAACCCTGGCTGTGGGAAGTATCCTCGTAACTCTGACACCATAAGGCCTACGTCTCAATTAGGCTCCTGCCATTGAACTGCCCACGTAGCGGCTTTAGGCTGAACCACCTGTGGCCCCGAGCTTGGGGCAAGGTGCACCCATTCCAGGAGTGGATTTCGGGATCTCCGGGACCTGGTTCTCGCTTCTAAAGAAATCCAGGTGTATGAGCTAGCTACTGCTTCATAACAAATTGTCCCCAGAGTTAGTGACTTCAACGAGAAGCGTTTGTCCTCTCATGCAGGTTCTGGTGCTCAGGAATCTGGGGGCGGCTTTGCTGGAGCACGTCTGGGGGGCTGATGAGCAGCTTCTCTCCCCCGCTTCCCAGCAAACATGCTCTGCCATCCAGAAGTTCATTCAAAAATCTCAGCGAGGCCCCGTCACTGTCTCCCGTGTCCCTGGGCCGACTTACCACCCGGTACTTTGTTGTTCTAAGTTCCTCTGTCGTGTGTGCACGTAGCCAGAAGGACAGCTGGGTGGGTGACACCTACATCCACCCATGTGCCTATTTTGTGTTTATTTTCCCCAGATGCCTGTGTCCTAGTTGTAGGGTCCTAAGTGGCTTCGCCCTCCCTGGGACCCGGCACAGTTCTGACACGCTTCCCTCTCTGTGCGGTGGGACAGGCTGTGGTCCGAGGTCATCATCTGCCTACCCCCCAGCCGTAGACCTTGTCACATGCATCCCAAAGTATACATTCATCCCAATTTACACTTCACCCCAAAAGGAGCCTTCCTGTGGGACTTGGGGAAGACCTGGGACGTGGAGGAGGGCCTGGTACCAATGCTTCTGTCATGTAGAGCCTTGCCCATCCAGCTGGCTGGTCTGCATTTAGGACCAAGAGTGACCACGGTGGGTTCACGGGGGCGCTGGGCGGCTGCAGGCT